CCCGACTTTTGAGAAGATTTTCCTGGGTTAAAAAGTAGTCTTATACGCCAGAAAATACAGTATTTTATTAGTCCCCATTTCTTGGAGAGTTCAAAGCATAGTGGAGATATTTTGATGGTTTTTAAATATATCTTGGATATTTTTTTGAAGTCAGTATTACATCCTGCCTACCTACATTTCCCTGGTAGTTTCAATTCTTCTGATTCAAAGTCCACTAAAGTCAATGGAAAGACTCCCACTGAAGTCAGGGGGCTCTGACTGAGCCCATGCTGTCCTGGGCCCAGTGCAGTTACTACAGCAATGGAAGGACGCTGGAGGCTATGCAGGGCCGGGGCAAGGAAGTTTCGCCTAGGGCGCGAAACTTCCACCTTGCGTGACCCACCCCAGCCCTGCTGCAGCTCCCCACCCCCCCCTCCGCCCTGAGGTGCCCCCGCCGCAGCAGCTCCCCCCACCATCTGCCATGAGGCACCCCCCTGCACACCAGCTCCCACCTCCCCCGGGGAGCCGTGCAGCAGCTCCCCACCCAGCTCACCTCTGCTCTGCCTCCTCCCTGAGCACGCTGCCCCTGCTCTAATTCTCCTCCCCTCCCAGGCTTGCGGCGCCAAACAGCTGATTGGCACTGCAAGCCTGGCAGGCGGGAGAAGTGGAGCGGCCGCTGTGCTGGGAGAGGGAGTCTGAGCTGCACACGTCAGCGCGCCACTGGCAGCCCAGCCCAGGAACGCTGTAAAAAAAAATTGGGGACATCGCTTTTTGGCGCCCCCAAATCTTGGCACCCTAGGCAACTGACTAGTTTGCCTTAATGGTAGCACCGGCCCTGAGGCTATGACATCTATAGTGTAGACAATTTCTTAAAGGAGTGAAACCTATCAAGAACTTATTTTAAATAAGCAATTATGACTCCGGATACACACAAAGGAAGTCTCTCTCTTTCTGGTTCAGGGGATCAGAATTTAATTTGAGTAACCTGTCTTACTTTATTCAGCTACATTGGCCTACCATTTTCTTGCATTACTTGAGTCATAGTATATGTGAACTCAGCACTTCTTGACTGGTTTTCTTCTAAAAATTTTAGTCCCATTAGCTTTCTGAATTGGTGGCAATGTATGAATATGTTTGACAGTATATCTGAATCAGTACACATTTCTATATTTCAGCTCATTCTGAAATGCATTACAAGTCAGTGCAGATAGGTGCACAAACACCCATTTATGCCTGGCTGAGCTTTTGAAAATGTTGGCTTCTCCCAAGGATGCAGTTTGTGGAAGAACCATAATTTTATCACTGATGATATGTTATTTGTGTGCAGATGATATCAAAACATATCCCCTTTGTCAAATCTTACTGCAGCAATCTCAGTTCTCACTGATTGAAACTAAAGACCTAATCATTCAGAACCCTTTCAGAATAAATGCAGATAAGACACGGGCTGCTTCTAAGGAGTATTCGTGAGCTTTTTGAGGCATACGGGGGAAAGAGAAGGAAGTTGCTGTTTTGCTTCCATCTTAGCACCTTCCAGTAGGAGTAATTTGTCCTCAAAGAGGACTTCAAAGGTAAAATCCTGGTCTTATTGAAATCAATGGGAGTTTTGTCATTGACTTCAATTGGGCCCTAGTATCGGCCTGGAATCTTAACACAACCTCAACCCTTGATGCAAGAAGCATATTAGTTCCAGTCAAACTTCCTTTTCCTGTTTGGAAACATGGGCCTACATGAACCACAGTGAAGCAGCTAAGCGCTCTGAGGTAGTTTGATAGGAAAGGCAATGTTAGTATATCTTTGTTTATTACAATCTCATTTTTCCATATCTAAGCTGAACATAATGCTGCTGGTCATAATTATTAATAGTAGATTCCAGTGGATATATAATAAAGAATCCAGAGCCACTATTTGCTTTGTTATAGTATAAATAAAAATGTTGATAATATATTGAACTGGGGGTGAAATTCTATAGTAATGTTAACAGTTATAGTATCAAAAAAGACATCTTTATAAATCACAATGAACTTTTAGAATTCATAATTTCAATGTATGTTTAGAATTTACAACAATGGATTCACAATTTTCAACATCAAGAAACATCCACAGATTTTCTCTAGTGCAAATTTAGCATCTAAGGATGTGACTAGAAAGCACCTGCTGGAGGATCTCATTCATCCCCTTGGGTTTCTACAGTCCTGTTCTCTACACAAAAAATATGTGGGTCTTTTATCCAGGCTATTTTTGAACATCTCTACAGTTGGTGACTCAACAAGCTCCCTCAGCATATTGCATGCTAGATGTTATTTTTAATGTCTTTCTTTTAATTAACAGTTCTGTTTTTCCAAAATAACTAGCACTAACTATTTAAGTTCTACACCAACTCATTAATTTCAACAGAGAGTCCTGTGGCACCTTTAAGACTAACAGATGTATTGGAAAATAAGCTTTCGTGGGTGAATACCCTCTTTGTCAGATGCATGTGGGTATTCACCCATGCAAGCTTATGCTCCAATACATCTGTTATTCTTAAAGGTGCCATAGGACTCTCTGTTGCTTTTTACAGATCCAGACTAACACAGCTACCCCTCTGATACTTGTCATTAATTTCAAACATTTGGGGCAAGATTTTCAGCTGGTGAAAATCTGTGAATGCACTTCAATGGAACTGTGCCGATTTATACCAGCGGAGCACTTGGCCTGTTACGAGCCAAACTCTATCCTGATACATTAGCATCCAGCTATCTCTGTATTTGAAGGAGAAGAGTGTAGCATTTGGCTCTCAAACTTGCAACTGTAATGGCAATTTGTTTTCAAGGGTCATTGTCAAGGCTGATAAATAATAAATATCTCTTCAGCCTTCTTTTCTTGTATATTTTTATCCAGGTCATGCATTTTAAAAACCCTTCCCCCCGCAAAAAAAACCCAAATGGTTCAAGTGCTCTTTTTGGTAAATATATGCCAACATACCCCACTTACACAGGGAACTCTGCAACTTACAAATTAACATGCAGTATGTGTGAAAAAGAGATAAAGCAATTTCAGTAAGCAAACATATTTCCAGGGTGGTATTACATTGGTCTCAAACTTTTCTATACTGGGATCCTGTTGACGTTGCTTCTCATTTAGCTAGAACACCCCTTTTACTTAGCAATATAGGAAGGGTAGGGTGGTGATGACCGCACACTGGTGTACTGTGTGTACTGTGAACAGAGTACAGTATCCCTAAGGACAATGTATGTCTCAACAGAGTGTCTACCCTATCTCTTCCAACTGAAGAACCGATCTCTCAGACTGTGATGCAATTCCGCTTACATTCTTACTCAGTCCTGTCTAGCTTCTGTAGGGATTTCAACCAATCAGACCCAATTAAAAAAGACACTTTAGACATCATGTGTATCATGCACATCTTTTCCCACAAGGCAGTAAATTGGCACCACCACAGTGATGCGGCTGTTTGAGTAAAAGGGCTAGTGGAGTACTTCATTTACTAAAGCACCCAAAACCTCTTGACTGTTTTATTCTGTTTGTTACTCTGGCTGTGAGGTGCTGAAATAATACTACTTTGCACCTTTAATATAATGACTACTTTACAGAGCTGGATATGGGTTATCCCCATTTGAAGATGGGGAATAAGAGGGTAGCTGTGAGACTCTCACTCTGTCAGATATGCAGAGGATGTTGGGATGGGGAGAGAACAATGATAATCATATAAGATCAATTGGAAGACAATCAGTACAAATATTAGGCATTAATTTAAATGAGTCCAAACTATTTTAAGCTCTGAGGTCAACAGGGCATGAGGTTTCCTTTTGGTTTTGATCATGTAGTAACAGATGAGCCATTTAAAAAGACCGTGTAGTGAATAGGTAATGACAGCAATGTTCCTTACCTGCTTGTTCATAAGTATGTAGATAATTGGATTGAATACGGTACTGCTCTTTGCCAGGATGGAAGGTATGACATATGCTACTGGAGAAACTGCACCTGGACTACCAAATGTTGCAAGCAATGCTATAACTCCATAAGGCATCCAGCATATTAGATAACAGATTATTGTAGTAATCACCATGAAGAGAACATGGTATTCCCTTTTACGGGCAGCATTCTTCCGGATTTTTCCAACCTAGTGAAAGGTAAACAATAATATCGAATTATGAAGAAGCTAGAACGGTCGTTTTATCGCTCAAACAGCTTATAAATCTCAGACTACAATTCAAAGTATCACATTCTGACTGACAAAAATAACTATAGAAGCAAACTGAGGGCGTGATCCAAAACTGATTGACGTCAATGGGAGTCTTGCCATTGACTCCTCCGGACTTTGGAGGAAGCGCTGAGTGCATAATGCTATCTGTCAATACAAACCAGAATTCCACTAGAGTTTTAAGAAAAGGCAGAAAGATGACAAAGTCATCACTTATTTTTTCTTGTCTCCTAAAACATCCCCAGGTGTTTTATAAAAGATGTACAATAATTTAACTCAGTTTTTTCCAGTATACAGGACTTGTTTGAAATGGAATAACTTCATGATATTTACATAGGACCATTAAAAGTTTATCTGGTGGAGATATCAAAATGAACAAAACATTATTAGCACATGTCCTGAGAGTTATAACAAACTTTCTCTTACTGGACTGTTTCGACTATATCCATACCCCTGATGGCCTTGATAATATTAGTGAGTGCACAGAAAACACCCCCTTAGGCAGAAACCTCACTAGATACTGAAGAGGAATAGACTGTGTTTTGTGAATATGTTCCCTTTTTTTTGTTTGTTTCTCCAAGTGCCCCCTACACATGGAATATTCTTCCTGATCATCTATGCCACTGAACCTCCTTGCTCCTCCATCCCCCCTACTTACAGGGCAACTTTTCCCACAATATTTTAAACAATGATCCTCTCATTAATAAAATAAAAGTGTAATTCTAAAAGACACTCTCTTTAAGGCCTCTTAACCATGGCAGAGAGGGATGGAGGGACCTTGGTGAAAATGAGTCAGACCCAAAGGATCAAGAAACAAAAGGGCAGCTCACATTAACAGAAATTGTTAAACACTTCAAACAAAAAACAGATAAGAGTTTGAAGTGAACTGATTTTGGACAGATTCTGTTGTAGACTGCAGAAATGCACATAATGAAGGCTCTGTTTCAGGGAAAAAACATGTACGTGAAATCATTAGAGCCGAAGGTGGAAACTGTTGACAATTTGAGAGGTATAGTATCTTCCATTGCAATCTGCAGCACTTAAGCCATGAAAATTCTAATGGCATTTGTATGCTCAACCCTCTATATACTAAGTTGAGAGAGAGAATGTATGTATACACCCCTGACTGCGAGTTATCAACAAATATTATTATTTACTGTGATTAATGTGAAGTTATATGGAAGGCAGAGTAATATGATGTGATGTCAGTCTTTTTGGTGTAGTGTTTGTCTGGTACCACAGTAGCAAAACAAATACATTTTACTCTAGCGTGTGTACATAAAGCAAACACCCTACTGCACTACACAGAAGGATTTTGCCAAATTTCCCAGGGCTCTCTAATACCAATTCTCTCTGTAAGTAGCAATAAAGAATCTGTCTTTTCTGAAAATGTAGGGAGAAAAACATTTAGTAGGAACAAAGCTGCTTATATATACATTTTATCCTATGAGACATATTAATAGATGAAAGGTCCAATCATGCATTGCTTGCTCTTATAAAACTCCCACTGGCTGTAATGGAAATTTTGTCTGATTACAGAGTGCAGGTCCAGCTCCTCTGGGAGCTCGAATAATATTAGGGACTTAATATTAATAGAGGCAGGCAAAGTCCCCAGCTCAGCCAAGTTAATCAGAGTTAAAGGTTATCAGTGAAGGCAGGGGCCTCCAGTCAGCACATTTGTGCTCCCTATTTTAGATAATGGCCCTGCCCTAAAGAGTTTATGAAGAAGGGAGGCCATGTAAAAGCAAAGTGCTCGTGCTGTGATGTTTGGCACACAGCTAGCTAGTTCCATGGGTTTTATGGGTTTATTTTTACCAGTGTTGCCAATTCCTGTGATTTTATTGTGAGTCTCACAATATTTGATGTTTTAGTTAAAGCCCCAGCTCCTGGAAACAAGGGATTATGTGAGCATCTCAACAGTCATTTAAAAAAAGGAAATTTCTAGCCCTCATGGTTGCAGAGAAAAGCTTGAAAATGTGACCCAAGTGCACCCTAAAGGCTCAAAAGCCAGAAGGCAAATAAAAAAATTGCCAAATGTATATTTTTAAAATCTCATGATTTTTAAGGGGCCTGACCCATGATATTTTTATGTTTGGAGTTGGCAATACTGTTATGTGTTTATGTGATCATGCAAGTTAGGTAAACTCTCTCCTGATTTTTTTATATCATGCTCTTCCCTACCCTCCTTCCCAATAATAATCCCTAGCTATTATATAGCACTTTTCATCCGTCGATCTCAAAGCAGTTTACAAAGGAGGTCAGCAGCATTAGCCCCATTTTCAGATGGAGAAACTGAGGCTCAGAGGGGGAATGTGACTTGCCCAAGGTCATCCAGCAGGTTAGTGGCAGAGCTGGGAATTAAACCCAGGTCTACTGCGTCCCACTCCAGTGCTCTATTGGCTAGTCCTGTCCATATGCCCCATTCCTTGTCAATCAATCTTCTTTCTCTTCCTGCTTCAGCTCCCTGTCCCCATCACAAACCTTGACCTCACATTTACATTCTAGAGCAGGGGTAGGCAACCTATGGCACACGTGCCAAAGGCAGCACATGAGCTGATTTTCAGTGGCACTCACACTGCCTGGGTCCTGGCCACCGGTCCTGGGGGCTCTGCATTTTAATTTAATTTTAAATGACGCTTCTTAAACATGTTAAAAACCTTATTTACTTTACATACAACAATAGTTTAGTTATATATTATAGATGTATAGAAAGAGACCTTCTAAAAACGTTCAAAGTATTACTAGCATGCGGAACCTTAAATTAAAGTGAATAAATGAAGACTTGGCACCCCACTTCTGAAAGGTTGCCGACCCCTGGTCTAGAGTCAGTACTATTTCATTAAAATCAACCAATCAATCACATACAACCAGTTAATCCTCACTTTAGAATTTGAAAGCTCCCAGACCCAGGGTTAGGGCTTAGGGTACTGGCCTCACCTACTGTACCTCCTTGCCATTTCTCAAAGAAGCTCAAGTCCAGCCACTGCTGCTTTTAGTGGTGGTAGACGGAGAGGGCAGGGATTTTGAGTCGGTCTGCTGCATTCTAGGATATCTTTAGCAAACCAAGATGTGCCAGAGGATATCAGGAAGTGCTGGAATGTTTAAAAGGGTAGCTAAAATGTAATTATGTTCTGCAGGAGTGTTCAACCTACAGCCCACAGGCTACGCACAGTCCACCAGAGCATTTCATAAAGCCCACAGCCTGCTTCAACACATTATACTAGCAGGCCATTCATTAGCGTTTTGTCATCATGTTTACATCATTTTAGTTTACACAAATAAACTTTAATAGCTTTAATAGCTTTGACAGGATAACGCCTTGTAGATGGGGGGAAGCTGAAGATGTGGTATAACTTGACTTTAATAAGACTTTTGATACTGTCTTGCATGACCATCATAAACAAAGTAGGGAAATGCAATCTAGATGGAGCTACTATAAGGCGGGTGCATAACTTGTTGGAAAACTGTTTCTGGAGAGTAATTATCAGTGGTTCACAGTCAAGCTGGAAGGGCATAACAAGTGGGGTCCTGCAGGGATCAGTTTGGGGTCTGGTTCTGTTCAATATCTTCATCAATTATTTAGATAATGTCATAAAGAGTACACGTATAAAGTTTGCAGATGATAAGCTGGGAGAGGTTGCAAGTACTTTGGAGGACAGGATTAAAATTCAAAATGGTCTGTACAAACTGGAGAAATGGTCTGAAGTAAACAGGATGAAATTCAATAAGTATAAATACGAAGTACTCCACTTCGGAAGGAACAATCAGTTGCACACATACAAAATAGGAAATACTGCTTAAGAAGGAGTACTGCAGAAAGGGATCTGGGGGGCATAGTGGACCACAAGCTAAATATGAGTCAACAGTGTAACGTTGTTGCAAAAAAAGCGAACACCATTCTGGGATGTATTAGCTGGAGTGTTGTAAGCAAGACACGAGAAGTGATGGAAGAGGTAATCTGTCTCAATGTAGCTATCAAGCCTGATAACATGGTAACTGGTACTTTATAAATATCAAGATATACAGAATGGCTTCGAGTTTACTGTAGGTAGATTACCATGGGAAACCTGGTAAAAAGGGGGATTTAACTTCAAATGACTGTGTTCAAAACAAATGCTAATACCAAAGATATGTAAGATCCCTCTAGAAATCAGGAATCAAACAAAAACTTCTGCTTTATCAATGGCCTGTTATTCTCCTATGCGATCTGATTCAACACAGCACTTAAGCACATGCTTAGATCCCACTGATTTAAATGGGATTGCTTTGGCTGAATTGGAGTCATAATGCGCATGTTAAAATCAGCAGAAAATACAAAATGAATAAGTCATGGCATCATAAAAAGGGTGATTTACTCTTATTTATTTTAATATCATTGTTATGATTACAAGGTCAAGTCGAGATCGAGGATATTTTATTAACCTAACTCTGGCATTATTGGAATCTTGGGTATTGAAGCTGGAATAGTTATTGAGCCTAATATTAATGTTTCAGCCTAAAATGCAAATACAATGATAGACCCAAATTAAGGGCCATGTACAGCCCTTGACCCATAGATTTTATTCCCATTAATATCAATTAAGCTCTCTTGTGGACTTAGGGAAGTCTATGTTCCTCTACCATTAATCATTTTAGCTGAGAGGATTCTCTTACCATAGTAGCTAAATGTTTCTTAATAGTATTCTGACTTGGTAAACACATTCTCATGCATTAAGTCAACCGGTTATTGCTCCATCATATACTGCTGGTAGGATTTATTTCCCAGGACCAGATTTGCACACAGCATAGAAGTCCTAAAATAGTTAAATTCATTCATTTTTTCTCGCATGTCTTTGACAAAATCCAGCGAGTACAGATATTTTGGTTTCCATAATACAGCCTGGTTTTAGAAAGGGAAACTTATTGCCTTCTTTTGTTGC